AGATTTCTTGGACTAGATCCCAACTTTGCCCCTGACTAGCTGTGCGACCCCAGGAAAATTATTTAACCTCTCATGTTTCTCATCTAAAATATGGATATTAATATTCATCTGTAAAATAAGGATATTATTGTGGAAATAAATAAAGATCACCCAAAAGAGAGCAGACAAAGCCTATTTATTCAGGACTTTCTATAGCAAGAAAGTCAGCCACCATTTTGACAGAGACTCAAAGGCAGGCAGAAGGGTGGGAGAGATTTAAGGTGGAAAAAAAGGGAAGGCTTTAGAGATATGCCCTAATTGGAGCTTGACAAGGGGGAAACTGGAGGCAGGCTAACTAAAAGGGGGGATTCCTATGTGATTTGGCTTTCTCTGGTTGGTCCTAAGCTGAAAATGGGAGCAAAAATTAGAGAAACTGTCAGTTATTGACCGAATCTTGACTGTTTGGGGCCTAATGCTACAGACTTTATGGTTTGGCTTCCTGGACTGATGTTCTGCAGAGTCCTATTTTATATATAGTCTATTTTGTTTGTATATTCAGTGTCTCAGTATTGTAGATCTTTCAAAAAGTTGTAGGGAAGATTTTAAAAACACATCATATGCAAAGCTTTTGGAACAATATTTGGCACATAAATGCTTGATAAATGTGAGCTATTGTTATCATTTACCTCTTGGAACTTAGTTTCTCCACCTATAAAATGAGGTTGGAAAGTGTCACTGTGGGTCAAATCAGGAGATTTAAACAGAGGAAGTTTAATATAAAGTAGTATAGGTTACTATGATAAAAGAGTACCTATAAAATATAAGGGAATGCTACATGGTGTCCAAGGGCTGAGGGAGAGAATGCAAGGAAGGACAAACTTGGAAGCAGCCCCCTTTCCAAGGCTGGGGTTCAAGCCTCACTGGAGAAGGTGTAGTTGCCCACTGGGTGGCAAAGAAATCCACCAGTTTTCCCAGGCCAGAGTTATTCTGCAGTCACTGGGAAAGCAGGTAGCAACTGGGGCACAGGTGAGCTGCTGCTGGTTGACAGAGCATGAGATGCAGAGAATGTTGAAGGCTTCAGCATGTGGTATCTGCATTGGGAGGGCTGCAGGAAAGTGATCACCAGACTGAGGTGATTTGGGGGGCTGCCCCAGGTGGAAAAGGTGGCAGGGGGACTGCCAGATGTCCTCCCACCCACACTGCTGACTCCTTCCTCCCGGAGGGCCCTCTATGATGCCCTGCTGGAAAGGTTAACATTATCTTCATTCTAAAAGGAGAAATGCTTAAAAGAATTCCATCCACTATCACAGAGCAGGTATTAAAAAGTGAATTGAGAGCTGACACATTCGATAACTGGCACAGGGCATAAATATAGATTTGTGCTTATCTTTTAATAAAATTTCCCGGATAAATTAAGTCCAAGCTCCTTATCCCAGCATTCAGTGAAACCCAACACCCTGCCTTTGCAGGTCCCAGCATTTAGGATCAGCCTGGAGCACAGTGGGCAGTCACTGTCACCAGGAATAGCTCCTTCCCAAATCTCCATCACCCCTAAGAAGTCTTACCATTCTTGATACTTTTCATTTGAAAATCACCCCTATGCCACCTGTCTCACTCCTGACTCAGATGAGCACCTGTCTTCTATCTCATAGGTAGAAGAGCTTCTTTATCTCTGCATCTTCCAAAGATACCCTGCAGAGCACTTAAACAATGTAGGCACTTTACCAAGAATTGCTGGCCGAGCAGAAAAATAAATGACTCCTAAATCCAGTGAAAATAACATTTTTTAATAGGCTACACTAAATGTGTTCCTGAAAGGTCACTCGATATAGGAAATTGTTACAAATGTAGTAGAAGAGCCAGGAGTGTAAATGACTCTGATGAATGGAGACACTTTGTAAAGCAAATAACTACTTCTGCTGAAGGAAGTGGAAATCATCAATTTTTGTGAAAGCCATTTTATATATTCCTATATTATATGATCTTAAAGTCCAGCATACATGTCCATGTGATTGTTTTGATCTTTAATGGGGAGGTGGGGACAGAGTTGTATGAGTAGCTATTTTATAAAAATACCCATTTTGTTACCTTTGTTTGCTCAAAATCCTCTAGCAGCTTCCTACATCCTTCAGGGTACCAGCCAAAGTCTTCCAACAGCCCAAGAGGCCCTCCCTCACCTGCTCGGCCATGCTACCCACTCCCTTAAAAATATTTCTCTAAAATCTAACTTTATATTATGGGGTCTTCTACAGCCATGCCAGGCACGGTCTGGACACAGGGTCTTGGCATTCGTTGGTCCCTCTGCCTAGATGGCTCCTCTCTAAATATCCCCATGGCTTCCCCCTGCAGATTTTTGCTTCCTTCACTCAGTGAAGCTTCCCTGACCTGACACATGATGGAGCAGACCTCGCCCTGCCTGGGACCCTAAACCGCTTGCTCTGATTTATTCCTTTCTTCCCCAGCACAAATCATCTTCATATGTACCATACATTTCCTGGGTCTTTTGTTTATTGCCTCCCACTCCCAACAGAAAATAAGCTCCATGGTGGTAACAATTTCATTCAGTGCTATATCTCCAATGCTTAGAGTAAGCACTCCAAAAAATAATATTTTTGCTTAAAATTGTAACATATATACATAAAGAATGGAAAAGTGGAGACAAAAGCCTAAATGTTTGATGATATTAAGAAATTATTGCTAGATTTTAAATAAAAAGAAAAATAAGGAGTCATCCAGTTTTGACAGGTGATACCCATGTAGCACACACAGATAGGAGCCAGCAGAAAGGAGAAGAGCTGACTTTCCAGGGAAAGGTGGGAGACAGGTGTTCAAGAAGCAGAGGATACACAGAGGGCTGTGCAGGGACAAGGTCCATGAGAGGACAGAGGGTGGGCCCTGGAGGAAATACTGATGGCAACCCTTCCCACAGGTAGCCGTTACAACGTTAGCCATTGGCATCCCCTCCCTCTCAGAAGCAGGGTCCAAGAAAATTCACACGCCCTGCTTCTGCCTACCAGTCCTGCTAGTGCCACAAAGCTGCCCTGCGTAATGACGTAAGTGAGCATAGGTGAGGCCATCTTGTTATGCTAAATGGCCCCAGCCCCTCCTCTGTGTGGCTACTCACTGCTCTGCACGTACTCTAAAAAATTCACATGCTCTCCTGATTTATGGCCTCTGCTTACGTATGTACTTCCCGATAGCTTAATAAATTAAAAACTTTGTTCTATGAGTTTCTCTCCAGGAACAGGCTGAGCACAGGCAGGAAACACACCTACAAGGCATCCATCACAGCTGTCAGAAGAATGGAACAATGTGATGCCTGGAGCCCATCATGCCTGGAGACCAACATCCCTGGACCGCCCCCCCCCCACTGCCCATTTTCCCTATATAACTGCCTGAAGATTTTGTAATCCTTGAAGATGGTTTTTTGAGACATTAACCTGTCATCTTCCCAATTATGCCAGCTAATCGTTTTAAAACTTCCTTCCTCGATCCCTAATTTGTGATGAATTGGCTCAGATCATGGTGGGTAAAGTGAGCCCATTGCTCGCTAACAAATTCTGACAACCCAGGTGGGAACATAGCCTCTGCCCGTGGCTAGTTGACGTGGAGGAGTCTGTTTTGGGATTTTCCCTGCAGCTGCCAAGCAGCTTTTTCTTTTTCTTTTTTTTTCTACCTAGGGAATTACCCTGTGGCTTCCTCACTTGCTGACTGCCTCTAATGCTTCAGTGATCAGGAAAAGAAGGACTGGATCATGAGCTGCAGAGCCTGCGTTTGCAGCTAGGTGAGTCATCTGAAGTGTACCTCCTTGGTACTATATTCCTTTTTCCTAGTCTAGGGCCTTGGTCAGGCCAAGGTCCATCTGGTTTAGGCACCATTGTTTAGGTATAAAGGTAAGCACAGACTGCCTAGCATATTATCTGGAAGACTAGTCTCTGGCTTTTCTGTGGTGTACATGCCTGTATGGTCTGTTCTCCTAAGTGTGTGTGTGTTCCACTAGTCTGTGTGCCAGTTTTTCTCTGTGTTGGACTCCCACAGCATACTTCCAGTGCTTGTTACATCATCTGTGGGGATGTGAAGTCTGTAACCTTTTCTGTCAAGTGTCAAGCCAGAATTGCACGCTTCAATGCGGGCACTGCTGTTTGTGTGTTAACCCTTGGGAGGAAGCCGTGAGAGCATGGCCTGACCATCTTTTCCCCCTCTTTGCATGTCTTGTCCAGCATCTTCTTTGCTGTCATTGTGTAGAAGTTAGGTTTGGGCTTAAAGTAAGCCAGACCTAGACTTCCTACAAAATAGAAGATTTAAAAACTTTCTGCCAGGCACCTGACCTCGTACACTGGCATTGGGAAATTAGATTTTTACCCCACCTTAAACCATTACCTCTTGCCTCTTTGGCTTGTTTAGAACTGGTGCAAAAACTGTGTGCTCGGGTGGAGTGGGATTTGGCTGTGTGCCAGTTTTCCTCCATGGGCGCCACTCTGTCCATTCCAAAAAAGACCTGCTGAGGTGCATGCTGGCCAATTGAGCTGATTTCAGTTATGAGCCCATGACAAAGAAAAGGATGATCTTTTACCATAAGGTAGCCTGGCCCCAGTATATACTAGGTTCAGGAAAAAAGTGGCCCCCAAACGGGTCGCTCAATTATGAGGCCATCTTGCAGCAAGAATTGTTCTGCAAGAAGGAAGGAACGGAAGATGAAATCCCTTATGTTTAAACCTTTATGCTGCTATATCTAGATCAGGGAAGAGGGGACAATGGACTGAGGAGTCTCCCGGCTCCTCCTCCTCCTCCTCCTTTTCTCAGGCCCATGGCTTGCCCAAGGGAAAATGCCTGAGGGATTGCCAGGTCTAGGAGAGGGACTCTCTCCTTCTTGAACCCAGCAAGGGACAAAATTCGGTCAGGGGGCCCTTCCCGGAGTGGGGCAATTTGCACTGTGACAATATCTCATAGGCATAAATGGACAAGGGCAACTGGCTGGCTTAGTTTGGAGGCACTCTCAAGTGACTTTTGCTCTGGGCCAGCTAGAGGTGCAAGGGCCACCGGAACAATCATCCTCGTGGTTCCAGATGGCCCTGCTGGGTGTTCAAACACCACTGCCAGACCCACTGCCACCGGAGATTCTCAAGGAGGTAAGACCGGATGTGTGGGCAGATGGAAAGCCTGGGAAAGCAAAGAATGTCCAGCCAATACATATACCCTTAAAAACCCAAAAGATAAAACCTAGTCTGAAAAAAATATCTGCTAATATAGGAGGCTCAGAAGGGTATTCAGCCAGTCTTGCAGAAATTTCTGGTGTCCTTGGCCCTGGGCAGGGCAGATCACAAGGGTCTTGGGCTGGCTTGGCTGCACTGTGTCACTGCAGCTTCTCCTTGAGGACCCTGGTTGGGCCAAAGTGGGCTGATCATGGGGGTGACCCTAAGGTCCCTCTTTACAGAGTGAAGCTCCCACCAAAGCATGAGAAGTGCCCCTGATATCAGTCTCAGCTCTCTCCTCCACAGCTACCTCAGACAGAATGCCAGAGACAATGAGCTGGTTGCTGAGCCTCCAGGCCCTGCTGGCCTTCATCCTCACCTTCACTCTCATAGGTGACAGCCATCCTGGGCTCTGAAGGGGGTGGGACAGGTGCAGGCTCATCTGGTCCTAGATGAGGCTGGTGCATCTCTCAGTGCCTCCTGTATTAGCAGGAGAAAACCTTCGTGCATTGGAAACCTTCCTGTGTTTCACTCCATTTTCTGATGTTAGAGTGGGTTTTAGGTAAGGGAGAGGCAGGGTGTCCAGTGCCTGCTACAGGCCAGATACCCATTAGGTCCTTTAGATTCATTTGTTTCCTAATAGGAGGCGAGTGGAACCATGGAGAACATTCTCTGCTTCTCCCCTGTGTTTCTTAGGTCAGGCCAAACAAAAAGAAAGAAGCCAGACAGTTTCTCCCCCAAGTTTGATCTACTAGGCCTGTCATTTCTCATCTTTCAGGGCAGCCAGCTTGTGGGATCAGAAAAAGGATGTTTTCCAGTGCCCCATGACACCAAGCATCACCCCTTAACACATTTAACTTACCATTGAGCTTGATGACTAAGTCTTTTGTCCACCATGGATGGCCTGGCAAGGGGAGTAAAGAAAGGCCAGGGGTGGGAAAAGGCCCAGCATTTCTCAGGAGATTTCTGTACCCCTGAAACCAGTATGCCCTTCTGCCCATTCCCCTTCCACCACAGTGGAAGGTTAGCTTTTGCCCCCTTCCCCCCCCAACCCTGTCCCAGCAGGATCTGAAAATGGTCACAATTAACACCAAGCCCCTGTTGTACCCAACACTGAAAATTTTCTACCTATTTGATTTCCCATCCCAAATGGTCACACTGTTCAGTTAAACTAATCAGAGGCAATGCAATGAAATTAAATAACAGCGAAAGACACCAAAATAATTTAACATCAGCAATAGAGAACACTTCCCATATTTGGATATAAACCACTCAGATAACAATTGAAATCCAAAGAGAATCCAAAAATTTTAAGTTAAAGTCCAAAACAGATTTAAACATCAGATTTTCTTCCTGTGGCCAGAGGGATCTCTCTCTTATATGTGCAGAGGGTTGGAGTCTTTTGGCAACCACTAAGGGCAGAGACTCCCCGACAAGCTGCCGGCTTCACCTGTTTCACCAACCACTATAGTGCCCAAATGCCAGGACTTGTGCCTTTTTCAAGGTTCCTGGCCCAGGCATTTATAGCTCTAAATCTCGAGCTTCTTATTCTGCATTTGGAGCCATGTATTAAACATAGGAATCACACAAGTATAGATTATACTTGGAGAATGCCATCAGAACCATGGCTCAAACAAGGCTCCTATATGATGTCCTAGATAGAGTCAAGTCCACCCTCTATCAAAGCCACAGGCCTTCCCTTGTAGGGGCTGAAGGTTGCTAGGTGACAGAGCAGAGATTGTACATATCTTCCAGTCAAACAGCTCTGAAAAGAGAAAGAACCTGGGAGCTGGGCAACAAGGGCTTAGTTTCTCCCACCAATATCACTCAAAGCCTTCCTTCCGCTCCCAGTTCCCACTATAGTAGGATGGTCTGGGGTTTAGTTCAAAATTCCTCTGGATATACTTTCCTTTGGCAATTCCTTATGTAGATAACATAAGATGTCCTTAATGTTCTAAAACTAATGGCTTTCTCCTGAATTCATTTCCCTTCATGTGGAGCAGTTCTTCTAAAAGGCCTTTTGTAGAGGGTCTCTGAGTTAATTTGTATGCCTGGGAGCATATTTATTGCACTCTCACATCTAAATGAAAATCTTGCCAAATTTAACATTTTAGGTTCAAAGTGCTCTTCTCTCACCCTGCCTTCCTGAATTCAGTCTTGCTGCTAAGAAATCAGGCAGAAGTTTGACCTGGGAGTTCTCCTTACTCATTAGAAGAGGTAGTTTTAAACCTAAAAATCAGGACCCCTCAAGTAGGCCCAAGAACAACTGAGATAGATTGCAGCGGGAGTTTTAGAGCCATGTGCAGTTTTAGGGGACATATGACCTCCCTCCGGCAAAGAACCGTTGTCTGCTCTGCCCCTGGGAGGCTCTGGGTATACGTTCATAGAGACTCCACTGCAGGAAAGGGTGCTCGTTAGGTAGGAAAAGTCTCAGAAATGTTTTTGTTTCTTTTTTTTTTTTATTTTTATTTTTTTGTTTATTGCTTTCTGTCTCTGCAGGCAAGGATATGTTGAATCCTACTTACAGAGATGTGCTATTAAAGAGGATTGTGAGGAACCTTTCCATGACATATAGGGTTAGCCTGTTACAGTGGAGATGAAGGAATTCAGAGAGCATAACAGAACCACCCATGCCAGCCCTGATGGCTCTCCTCCTGAGGACATTGGTTTTTTTTATCATTCCCTTAATTATACGTGTGTGATTCATTATTTAGTTCATAAACTCTGGAATAAAAAATAAATTTTATTTTTTTATTCATTTTATATGTTCAACTGGCCTGTGGTAAACATCTAGCAATTGTCCTATCTCAAAGAGCAGTGTTTTTCAAAACTTTTTGAACTGACCCATAGTAAATACACTTTACTTTGCAAGCCAGGACATCCATTTGGGGGAATATATGCTTCAATTATATATATATATATATATATATATATATATATATATATATATATATATTTCATGTTTATATATTTGTGTTCTGTAGTGTAAGTGCCTAATAATTAGCTTTTTTGACTGTAATATAAATGCATGACACTAAGCTTTTGATTGCCGAGGCATCTACTTCAAAGTCATTCATCTTGAATGAACACATTGTCAGCTACACAACTAGATAAAGAGCCAGGCTGCCCCACCCAAGAGGTTTCCCTTTTAGAAATCCCTAGTTGATCTAGAGAACTGACCATTTGAGTGACCCTGCTTTACCCTTTCTGTGCTTTAGTTCCGGCTCCTATGTTTTGAATTCACCAATAAAGAATGAACCCATGAAACCTTAGACACCCCATCCTTGACCCCAATAAAGGCAGAACCCTAGGTCCCTGTGCTCTCTCTCTCTCTCTCTACTTGCAACCTGGCTGTGTGGTACCAGGAGTGCCATGTACCCTTCAGGACTTGTGAGTAGTAAACCTTGTTTTTTCAAAATTCCTTGATAGTTGTTGCTGAGGTGCATCTTGCAATCATGATAAGAACTGCAAGGGCTGGTTCAGCCACCATATTGGCTCTAGCTGGGGAAATATCTGTGGGGGCTCACCACAAGTAATATGGCCCCAGATGAGTGTCCCTAGGAATTTCTAGCTGATAGCATCACTATCGATAGGCTGAGACCAACACAAAACATGTATACATATTTGCTTTCATATATTTGTGGTTATATATTTATATTTAACCGAAAAAAATTTTACATAACAATTCTTACCCTTTATACATATACTCTTCTGTTATACTCTACTCTCTTTTATTGACCAAAAAATATAAATAAAATGTTGATCTCAACTTATTCAATAGGTTTCTCAGCCAAATAATAGGCCTTGACCTGGCATTTGAAAAATACTGCCATATAGGCTAAATCTGGGAGAGTATAGAAGAAACTTTGTTAAGAGGTTCACAGTATAGTTGGGGAGAAAAGGCAGACTCAGTATATGTGACTTGTGCTTTTGTGATTTTTCAACATGTACATGAGACTAGTTAGGAGAATGGATGCACCCACTGGAGACAAGAGACCAGAACACACAAAAGAGAATAAGATGATACCCACATGCAAAGTTCTGCTGTGGTGAGCAGAGGTTGATAGAGGTTAAGTGTGGGAAGGCCCTGGGCAGCTGGAAGGGAGAGTGGGTCATCTTCATCTTGCTCCCCAGGGCTACTCCTCCCTTCCCTTGTGGAAAACTCTGTTCTTTTTGAGGCTCCAGCCATTGGCTAGTCCACCTTCTGCACGCCCTTGTCACTATCAGCTATTGACCTAATTTACTGATGACTACAGCACCTGCTTACACTCCTTCTTTCAACTCAAAGTCCTGCAATGATTCTGGAGATCTGATTTAGGATCCTTATGAGTGCTACATCAAATCTCAAGTGATCTTTATAATTTACTTCAGCCATCACCTTCCGTGGTCATGCTAAAGATTGTACCATCACCAATGATTGTTTCACTCTGAAATCTTTGCTTCAGATACCTCAAATAAAACCAATGGATGCATCCATTTTGCTAACTAGCCTCATATACAACATGTTCAAATAAAACCATCTGTCTTTCCAAAGACATAATGTTTTCAGGACGGTTCTTCCCGCCTCACTGCCATTAGTCCCTGCTTACTTAATGTCTTTACCTACTCTGATTAGACCCCATAAACCATTTTTTCCACTAGATATAGACAACTTCATCCTGTGGTCTTTGAGTTACGCTCATCTAGAAAAACTCCAACCCTGGACCAGTGTGCTAACCTTCCCCCTGACTATACCTAACTGCTGAGCTCCACTGGAGAAAAGCCACACAACCTTCTGGGCTAGAAAATTAAATATCCATGGTGTGAAGCTTCAAATGGGAAGTTAACATTCCTTCACAGGCCTTCTAGATTTTCCTAGTTATCTTTCTCTCCTATTCTACTGTAAAATTAATAACCAGAAACTTTGCTTAAAATGGAGTCAAGAGGTCAGAAGGGGGGGCTCACACCCTATGATGATTTCAGAGCCATACAGGAATAAGGACTTCCTCTTCTTGCCTAGCAACAGCTCAGCCAACGAGAGATTGTCACAATTCAGCCAATAAAAAGCCATTACCCTTTGAACTCCCAATCTCCTCCAATGGACTCTTTGTTTACAATAGACCTCTCAACATCCTTTTCCATTTTATGAAAGAGTTTCTCCTCCCATTGTTGCTCAGAACTTGCACATGTCTTGCCATGGTTGCAGACTCTGAATTGCAATTCTTTGCTGATCCCAAATAAACCCATTTTTGCTGGAGAAATAATTGGCTGTCTATTTGTTTAAGGTCAACATTTTGGTAGCCTGTACAGGGATCCAGAGAAGACCCCTGAGATCTCCAAGGCTGATGAGCAAACAGGTGCAGTACCTGCAAAAGAGCCCGTTGAGCTTGTTGCTTGTCTCATTGACCCTGGAGTTTGAGGGTAAGTCTTTCTCCTGGACCCAAGCCTCCACTCTCTTTGTGTTTTTAAGCTCTCCAGGCTCTATTCAGGATCTATTTTAAATCTTCATCTTTTTCACTTAAGGCCTTGTTTTATCTGCTAGTACTCAGTTGGCACTTCAGCTGACACTTCGGAATCAGGCTGTTCCATTGGAACTGGCTGCTCAGCCTTTGGTCTGATTGCTCTGGAATCAGACTACTTCATTGGAACTATGCTGTTCAGTCTTCAGGCCAATTCCTTTGGAACTGGGCTGTTCTATTGTAACTGCTCTGTTTAGCCTTTGGCCTAACTTTTTTGGGATTGGGCTGTTTTAGTGGAACTGTGTCTTCAGCCTTCAGACTCCTTTAGGATTAGGCTGTTTTATTGGAACTATGCTGTTTAGCCTTCATCCTAACTTCTTCAAAATTAGGCTGTTCTATTAAAACTGTGCTGTTCAGCCTTCAGCCTGATTCCTTCAGGATTAGGCTGTTCCCTTAGAACTATACCGCTATTAAGCTTGCAGCCTGTTTGAGCTGTTCAAGCTGTTTGAGTTCCAAGCTGTTTAAGCTGTTTGAGCTGTTTCAGTGTTTGAAAATTATTCTTTTACCCTGGCAAAAAACCTCTGAGAAGTGGGATCTCGGTTATCTAAATATTTTGAGGGTGCCCCCCATAAAGGTACTCTGGCCAATTTTGTGTTTAAAAACCATGGTCATTCCTCATGGACATTTCTAACTGAATGGACCAACTTAACCAAAAGCAGTTTAGAATGCCAATGGCCATTATGGGGAACATTTGAACTCCTCAGACTTACTTTTCTTAAAACCAAATTTGACAACCATGGCTCTGTAACTTCCAAAACTGAATGAGGCACCTATTTGATTGGTATTTTGAGGCTTCCAAATATTACTGGGAGTCTAAAATTGCCTCTTTGCAAAATAAAATTTTAAGATTGAGGAAAACAAATGATTAAAGAAAGCCTCATGTTCATCTTCCCTGGATTCTTTGTCTCAGGTCTGCCTCTGGTGCCATCATGTTCTTTTTCCCCAGCTCCTCATACCCAGGTGCTGCCTCTGGCACCACCTTCCTCCTTCTCTTCTATACTGTCTATACCTTCTCCTTACCTTCAGTTCCCCCATACTAACCTTCTCATAGAAGCTCCCCTTTTCCCTGAACTTCACCCTAATCCCTCTTTCTCTGGACCTATCAGAACCTGTCCCTTTAAAATTAAGCATTCTAAGGATACAAAGGCTAAACTCTTAATTTTTTATGTTCTCTGGACTAAAGCTGAACTGCAAGCTGTAGTCAAAGATTTTCTCAAAGTAACTGAAGATCTTCACTGATTTGCTGAGGAATTTAATATAGTCACTCAAATTTATCAACCTGGTTTCTCTGACTTATATTATCTATTTCATATGCTTGTAGGTGAAAGCAAGGCCAAACATTGGATGAAAACTAAAAATTGGGAAAATCCTAAAAGGTCTCTAGAATTACAATGAGGAGACCAATCCACAGACGTGTTGTTGTATGATCAGGAATGGGCAATTGTTAGATGACTTCGTCAGGCAAATCTTAGGGATTTTCCAAAGCCTGTTGATCGGAACAAAATTCAAGTTTGTGCACAATAACCTGATAAACTTGTTTATGACTATTACAGTAGACTTCAGATTGTTTTCAAAGAAAATTCTGGTCTTCCTCCAGGTGTTGGTTCCACTCAGGTAGCTTTTAAATTTATGTTTATTAATGGACTGAACCAGGACCTTTCCCTTGTAGTAAAAAGGACCCTTAGAGAATGGGATGCTATGTGCACTCAAGATTTAGTCAGTGTGGCAAACTAGATCTCTCATTCTAGATGAATCACCTAAAAGAAAGACCACTAAAATTCTTAATCTTCAACTCCAGTAAATGAAGACCCCTAAACGAAACCAAAATTCTCCTAGTTTCTTTTATTATTGCAAAGAGCCAGTATATTGGAAAAGAGATTGTTACAAATTTAAGTGTTTTAGGCACCTTCAGCCCTCTAACCAACCTTTTCAATGTCCTCAAAATTCCCAGTGATAGGGCTCTGAGGAACTACAGGGATTCTTCTCAATCTTCCCTCTTAATCAGTTTGGAGAAACATTTCTCCAGATTGGGGATGAATCTTTCTGTCCTAACTGACACTGGAGCCACACTCTCTGTGCTCAACCCCACTACTATAAAGTAGCCCCTGCCTCAGAGTACTAAAAGAGTTCAAATAGTGGGAATTTCTGACAAACCTCAAAATGTTCCTGTCTCTGAACCTATTCCCTTTCATTTAGACACTTTGAGAGACACACACCCTTTTCTCCTTAGTTCTTCTGCCTCTATTCGTTTATAATGTCGACTTCTTGTAAAAGTATCATGCTGGAATTTCTTTCTCCCAAAAGAGGGAAATAATTCTAGAATTTCACAGTAAATCATCAAAACAGCCAACCAAGTGAATGATCCTTTGTCATCTTTTATTTGCTCCATCTCTGACAGTACTGGAACTGATTCTGGAAATACTTATCATGTGTCCCTATGGAATCAGCTACCACCCTCCTTATGGGCAAAATCTCTAACTGATATTGGTAAAACTTACAGCACAATTCCAATCAATATTAAAATAGATCCTTCAAAACCTCTTCCCAGGATTAATCAATATCCTATAAGTAAATAAGCCTTTCAAAGTATAAAGCCCATAATATAAAATTACAAAACTCAAAATCTCATTATCCCTTGCACTAGTTCCTGTAATACTCCTATTTTACCTGTGAGAAAACCCAAGGGCCAAGGGTGCCTCAGGGTTTAACTAAGAGTCCTTCTTATTTCTCACAAATCCTGAATGCTGATCTAGATAATATAAAGTCCTCTAGGGGTTCTACTTTGTTGCAATATGTGGACAATTTGCTTCTTTGCTTTCCCTCTCAAGTCTCCTCACAGGAAGACAGAATCCACTTGCTAAAGCTTTTAGCTTTAAAGGGACATAAGGTGGACAAAACGAAATTGCAGTTTTCCCAAACCCAGGCTCAACATTTAGGGTATCTGATATCAGAATGAGGGCTACACCTAGATCCAGATAGGCTTCATGGTGTCCTAAGTTTCCCCAAACCTAAAACTAAGCACCAACTGTGAAGTTTTCTCAAGCTAGTTTGTTAATGCCAAAACTGGATTCAAAATTTCTCTCTTATGGCCAAATCTCTGTATGTCTTACTAAGGAACAACAAATTCATCCAAATTTTATGGGAAGAACTAGACAACATAGTCTTTAAGGCCTTAAAGAAGAGTTTGATGAACCCTCTTGCCCTTGGACATCCAAATTATCAGATTCCCTTTTTCCGTTTTGTATGTTAAAAGGAAGGGAATGCCCTTGAGGTACTCACTCAAAAACACACTCAAAAACAGCTGGACCACCATTGACCCATAGGGTATTATAGCAGCAACTCGGCCCTGTGGCACAGGGATACCTCCTTGCCTTAGAGCCATTACTGCCACTGCCCTTTTGATTAAGGCCAATGAGAAAATTGTTGTGGGATCCTCTTTAACCTTTTTTGTACCTCATGCAGTAGAAGTCCACCTGAGTTCTCATCACACTCAACATATTTCAGCCAGCCACCTCACCTTCTACAAAATCCTTTTGTTAACTGATCCTCACATAACTCTTTTACAGTGTAATAACCTTAACCCTGATACTCTTCTCCCCTCCATTACCAATGAAGTAATTCACTACTGCCTAATGCTGATGTATCACCATCTGACGCCTCATGATGATCTGCAAGAAACTCCTTTAAGTAATGTCAACTTATTATGGTTCACTGATGGTTCTTATTTAAAAGATGACAATAGCAAATATTATGGTGGATGTACTATTGCAACTTTTTAAAATATTGTTGAGGCAGCATCTTTACCTACGGCTACTTCAGCCCAACAGGCTGAATTATATGCTCTTACGTGGGCTTGGCCAAAGGCAAAGCTGCCAACATTTATCCTGATTGTAGATGGGCTTTTGGAGTATCTCAGGATTTCAGAATGTCATGGAGGCAACATGGCGTTCTTAATTCCAGTGGAAATAAAATTAAAAATGACCCCTTGATGGATTGTAATTAGTAATTCAGTGGTGAACATGAGAACATGATGTAATCCATGCAGAAATAGAAGTATAATGATGTACACCTGAAATTTATACAATGTTATAAACCAATGTTACTGCAATAAACAAAAAATTAAAAAAAAATTTAAAAAATGACCCCTGTGTTCAGGAATTATTGGGTGTTATACTTTTACCTGAGGCTTTAGCTATTGTTAAGATCCTGGGGGCATTCTAAACTTGACTTTCTGGAAGCTAAAGGAAATCACGTTGCTGACACTTCCACAAGGAATGCAGCCCTTGAAATAACAACAGTCAAACCTCTCTCATGGTCCAAATGGATATTTCCCTAAATTATAACTTAGAAAAACTGGCTAGAGAAGCAAAAAACGTGGCCTCAGAAAAGTGAAAAGTCGACCAATATTGATTTGATAAAAAGATAAAGCTGTGGTTCAGACCAAATAACAATCCGGTCCTACCAGAGACTCTAAAATTCCCAAACCCAACCACTGTAAATGCAATAGACTATTGGTCTAATGATAAAATTATATCATTCATGAATCAATATTGGTGGGGAAATAGTAACAAGGTTGCAAAAAGTGCCTACCTCACTTGTCCCAATTGCCCAAAACACAATCCAGGGAAGCCTGTTTGTTTATACTGCTCCCGGACATTTTAAAGTGCCTAATGGACCATTCAAGTTTCGGCAAATGGATTTCATACAACTTCCCCTGTCTCATGAATATAAATAGGTGTTAGTATGGTCTGCACCTTTTCTCACTAGACTGAAGTCTTCACTTGCAGACAGACTATTCCCTCTCTTGTGGCTAAAGTCTATTTGGAAAAGATTATCCCTGTCTGAGAAACCCCCTCAAACTTCATAATGATCAAGGAACCATTTTACTGCTCAGGTAGTTTGACAAGTCTGCAGTGTTTGACCGGTTTTACAACAATTTCACTGTGCTTACCATGCTCAAACCTCTGGTTTAGCCAAATGCACTAATGGCATTATTAAGACACAATTGGCAAAATTTGTAGAGACTCTCCAAATACTTTGACCAAAAGCATTGTCATTGGTCTTTCTAAATCTCAGATCCACCTGTTTTGGAACTCAGA